AGGATACCTGGGGGTGGGGGTGGGTGAGGGGACCTGAGAGCAGGGGAGGAGGGGAGAGGAGGACAGTGAGGCAGATGCAGGCAGAGGGCCTGGGGGTGAGTCTGAGGATGCCCCAGGACTCCAGGGAGAGTTGAAACACTCCTGAAGGGCAAAGAGGGGGCAGCTGGAGTTCGGGAAGAGCCGTGAGTCCTAAGGGTGACAGTGCAAGTTTCTCAGAATGTGTCCGTGGACCACCTGCAAGGAGCCATAGGGAGCCTGGGAAGGTACAGGTCTCCAGGCTTTCCTCTGGAGCCAAGAATGAGCATCTCTGGGGACAGCGCCCCGGGATCTGCACTTTGAGTGAGCGCCGCCTTCCCTACCATGAGTCTGCAGCTGGTCCAAAGTTTGAGAACCACCTGTCAGGAAGAGGAAGGTGTTGAGGACTGGCCTTGGGGGAAAGGAAGGAAAAGGAATGAAGAGCGGCGAGGGGGGAGGGAACCTCAGCTCACAGGGAAAGGCCGGCGTGTCGACCGTCATGGCCATTGCGGGACAGAGTCTGAGAAAAGGCGGCCCTGGCAGTGAGGGGTGTGGAGGATTCTCCGATAGTGGAGGCCAAATCTGCAAGCCGAGAAATGAATGGGAAAGTGGCAATTAACAAAGATGATTCTTAAAGGAAATCAGGTTATTTTATTTTAATCGAAAGCATCTGAAATATGTAAAGTGTGAGGAGGTAGGTAATGACCAGTTTGGAGATGAGAGGAGCAAAATACAGAAGGGAGGTAGCACAGGTGAGGACACAGGTGAGAGCTCCCCAAAGGCAGGCCTTGTCTCAGACGTGTGTGGGAGGCAGGCTGGGATCCAGGGGAGAGGCAGGGGAACTGGCGCCTGGGGTGCTAAGAGCATCCTGGAGAGTATATGTTTCCAGGTGCAACAGGGGCCACAAGCCTGAGCAAGACAGATGTCCTTCCTCCTCTCACTGACACCAAAGGTAGCATCAGCCGAGTCCCTGGTGACACAGCCAAGACAAGGTCAAGCCTGCCAGACGCAGACCGGCCATCCAGGACAGCTGAGATGCCTTCTCACTGCTTTTCTAGCCGACAGTCTCCAGGATCTCAAACACAGGCTACTTGGCACAAAGCCAAACAAGTCTCTTCCCAGAGGAGAAAGCCTGGGGCTTGGGACAGAATGCAGCCGGGAGCGAATCAGCACCACCACCTACGCATCCTTGGACCCGACAACCTCTGAGCAGCAGACAACCATCTATGGGAGGATGGCACCCTATCCCCGCCCCCAGGAAGGCCACGGGACTCCACGGGAAGGCCACGAACTACAGGATGCAGAGCCACTGGGCAAGAAAGCCTAAAGGAGGCACAGGACCGGGCCGCCCACCACAGTAGGCGGGCACCGAGAAATATTCACGTAGTGTCAACACTGAGCTGAGTGTCAAAAGGAAGCTAAGAACAGGTAATGACTGTTTTTAATGGTTTGAAAATCGAGGTTTTAAATATTAAATTTAACTAAACTGGATGGATTTCAGAAAGACAGTGAATCATGTTTCCTGTTATAATTCATCAAGAAAAGTAATCAGTGCTTCTCTGCCCTCCTCCCGGTCTTCCTCGTTCTTCCTTCCCACACCGAGAAAGGGGTGGGCAGAGCGCTCACAAACAATACCTAATTCAAAGGTCAAAGGTCACTTCTAGAGCCCAACCAGCTCCACCAGGCAGCAGGGAAGGCCCTGCCCCCTTCCAGGTGGACCTGGGGCTACACCTTGGCAATGAGGGTGCTGCCTGGGTCCATCTCTGAGACAGAAGAGGAATACTGAATTGGCGTGGGTGTCGGACCAAACCTTGACCCCTAAGGTCAGGGGTCCCCACCGGCCCTGCACAGCTGGACGCACAGGCCCGGGTGAGACAGCTCTAGACCTCACACGTCTGCTGTGCCTAAAGTCACTTCCTGACACACCTCAAAGGACTTGGGCACCTGCCCCAAGCAACAGCTGACAACCAGTTCCCCATCAGCATGAACCTCGAAGGCATCCAAGAGAAAAGGTGGTAGAAGAAGCCCAGACCCCTGGAGGGAGCATCCTGGGGAGCCACCCAGCTCTGCTCCTGACCAACAATGACACGGTTCCCTCACCAGGAGGGCAAACCAGTGCTCTGCAGGGTTTCCGGGGCGGGAGAGACAAGGTCCACAGGACGCACAGGAACCAGACCGTGAGCAGCCCGGGGAGAACAGGCATAAAGTACGAAGCCCTTTGAAGGTCCAGAGAATAGTAAGATGTTAAGAATTGCCCAGGAAAGTACTTCACTGACACAGAATTTGGGCAACACTGAAAACACAATACTAAGATATCACTTCCGAGAAAGGCGCACAGGAAGGGCAGCTTAGGAGGACACTAACGAGACAAACACAGGAAAATAAACACAGGGCTCTGTGCCCCATAGAAGCGGCTAATGCAACTTATTGGCTTGGGTTGTTCTGAAAATAGAAACCATCTTTTTGGCAAAGCTGCACAAAGTTCACATGGGGTGTCTCCCATGGTTGTGGACACATCACCACAGTAAGGGGCCGTTCACTACACTTCCTCACATCCCTCTGTTATCTTCAGAGGCTAAGATGTGACTTCTAGACTCAGTCAGGACAGAGGCCTACGCCTGGTGCGAGAGCTAGAGCACTGCCCGAGGAGTCTGGTCCCCACCGGCCCTGCACAGCTGGACGCACAGGCCCGGGCAGATTGCGAGCAGAGCCAGGCCCCTCTCTGTGGTGGGAGCAGGAGGGCTATGCTGGATGAGCTCTGAGCTCTGACACCAGCCTCACTGTGCCCTGTCATTAACAATGGCAGGCACGGGATGCCATCTAGTGGCACCCCTGGCCACTCTCACAAAAGGCTCCAATGAAAGACATCACAGGAGCAAAGCCAATTCCTGGGGTCTTTAATTCCAGGGGGGGAGGAGGGGAGGAGGTGCACATACTTCATGTTCGTGGGCGTGACAATCATCTCAAGAAAATATACTTTAAGAGATCTTGCTTTCCCTAAGAAAGCAGCTCTTTTTTTTATTATTATTATTTAGAAAGGCTAATCATATCCATTTGTCAATATTTTCAGCTTTAAGGAAAATAGTTTAAAAAACATAAAAATGTCAATACACTCAAGAGTAACTGCTATTAAACAGTTCTGAACAGGCAGAAAATGTAGACTTTCCTTTGACAGAAAATGTTAAATCTGTAATAGCAGCATAATTTATATATAGAAAAAAGCTGGTTTTGAAAACCCAGGTTTTTATACACAAAACATCGGTTTGTTTTTCTTCTGTACAGGACAACAGCGTCTCCACCAGGAGGCCTGCTTCTTCACATTATGTGGCCAGCGTTGGTCATCGGCGAGTGCGCGCGGCACCTCAGTCCAGCACCATGGCAGAGAGCGCGTTCAGGTCTTTCATGTAGGGGTGGGCCACCAGGATCTGGTCGATTTTCAGTCTCTGCTCCGAGTCTGGGAAGATCTTCAGCAGGGCCTCCCTCAGCTCGCTGGTCTCTGCGGAGGACCTCTGCGCCGGCATGGGCACGCTCTGAGGGAGGCTGGGGAGGCTGGGCACGAGCGGAAAGTGGGGCTGCTGAGGCAGCCAGTGGCTGGGTGGGGGGCCCTGAACACGGGCCGGAGGCTGGTGGCTGGTGCTGGCTGCCTGGGCGCCAGGGCCTCTGAAGCTGGGGTCAAACATGCCCACGTTTGGCAGGGCAGGGAGCAGGGGCTGCATGTCTCTGTGAACGGAAGTGAGTCCTAGTGAGTTGGGTTAAAAGATAAACAAGAGACCCTTTAAAATGACCTGCTGCTGACTCAAGGCTCAAATGCCACCCCCCCAGCTTCTGAAGGCAGGATGTACTGATACCATCTTCAGACGAGTTGTGACAGGGAGTGACAGCTCTTCACCAGCAACCCCACCCACCAGGTGTGCCCTCCAAGGACTGACCCCACCCAGCAGCCTGGCTCTGCACCAGGGTGTACCAGCATCACCTGGGGCTGTCAACAGGTGTGGGTGACAGGGCCTACTCTTCCGATTCCGTGTGGGGCCCTGGCTGACAGGCCTCAGAAACGGGACCCCCTGGGGGCAGCCGGGCAGCCCTCACCAATTCTCCCTGGAGCCTGGATGAGGCACTGGTGCCCACATGGGAGTGTGTTTAACTTCCTAATCAATTACATAACACCTTTGTCAAGAGCCATTAGGGGAGCAGGCAGCCCTGGTCGGTTGCTCAGTGGTTAGTGTCAGCCCACGGACTGAAGGGTCCCGGGTTCGATTCTGGCCAAAGGAACCGATTCACTGGAAAGCCTTCCCATGCAAGTTATTTGCTGGGAAACACAGAAGTGTAGCCTGTTTTAGTTTTGAAAAAGAGAAAAGGTCTGTTGCTAGGTTATAGGATCTGCCAGTCAGGCACACAGCCTACTGGAGTTAACAATGTCAAAAAAAAGCAAACCTAAGCTACAGCAAAGAAAAGTATCAAATCAATTTCAGATCAATGCAGAACACCCGCTTCTCCATTCAGTGGAGGTAGAATGACAGATAGCTCCCAGGCAGCGATTCCTGAGCAGTAAATAAATGAATATAACATAATCAGAGCAGAGGACTTTGGAAATGAACATGAAAAGATATTCGTGCACACATAACGAATCTGTGGCTTCGTTAACGAATGACCACCCGCAGAACCTGCTTCGTCTTTTTTGACCCACAGAAAGTCTGGGTCCCCATCCTCTCCTAGAGTTAAAACCAAAAGGACCACCAAGATTCAGTCTTTGGGGTGCCTGCTTGATTAGTTTCCACATATATGACACCAGCACTAAGTCTAACACTATTTAAAATAAATAAATAAATAAAAAGCCAGTTTTAGTTTTCAGGGACAGTGCTTGCACCAAGCACAAAGACCGGAAAGAAATGTGCCAACACAGGACAATCTGAAGAAGGAAATACCTAAGGAAGACTTCCTTCCGAAGAAATTCTTCTAATCGGGGTCCACTTCTTCCCAGAGGGTCATCGGGAACCATGAATATGTCCCCCACGAAGGTGTACTGGAGCAACCTGCAACAGAGAGTGACAGTCTGGAGAAAACGCTGGGCTCTGGCGTTGGGGAACCGAGAGGAAGCCTCTCAGGCGGCCATCCAGTTCCAAAGCAAAGTACCTTAAAATCACACCGCTGCTTAACTGCCCAAAGGACAAAAGCCAAACCATTTTAATTTCTCTTTTGGATACGAATATAGTAGAGTAGCAGCTTTTATCAGCTGGCTCTCACGTTTCTCATTGAGACTTTCGGGTTTTTATCTGAGCCTGGGAAGCAGCTTCTCTCAGTGTGACTTTCAATAAATATCACTTTAAAAGGCAAGACTTACAAACTCAGCCTAGGACACAACAGGTGCTCAACAAAGATTTAATTTTTGAATAAATGTGTCTGATGAGGAAAATTCTGAGATGTCCTAAATTAAATTACAGCGGGAGAGTGAGAAAAAGAGACCAGAGCGGTGAGCCAGCAGCTGCGGGTGACTAACAGGCCGGCTCACATTCCTGAAAGGACTTGGAGCTTTGATCAACTTGTGGAGCGACCACCAGACACCACCGCAGCCATCGCATGGTGCGGGCCTGAACCGTCAGGACCGGTTCCCACACCCTGTCACAGCAGTAAGCGTCCCCTCCTTCAGACGGCGCTCCTGCCCTGGAGCTGCCCCATCCGCCTCCTGGGCCAGCCAGTGAACACTCTTCAACACCGCGGGCCCTTCCCCGGGCACAACGCACTGAGCGCCGCCCCCTCCGGCCCCGCCCGGGGCCTGCCCTTGCCTNAGACCCGGCTGCCCCCTCCGGCCCCGCCCGGGGCCTGCCCTTGCCTGGCAGCATTCGGCTCAGTAAACATTCTTTCAGAAGAGCTTTGGGCCGTGGAAGTTTCTTTAACGTGTCCTTTGGCAAACCCACTGAAGACGACCTTTTAAAAAAGGAAGACAGTGTGATACACGAAGAAATACACCCAGGTCAGCTGAGCGTAAGTCGGGGAACTGTAAGGGAGCAGCAGTCCAAGTGCCTGTTTGGTGTCCAGACCTGGGTTTGCGCCTCATTTGGTGGATTCTGGACGCAATGGGTCAGTGTGCAAACGTGTCTTAATGCATGTAAACTGCACGTGTCCACAGGTGAGTGTCCAATAAACTGACAATGAGCCCAGGGCAAAGATCCAACAGAAACAAGTCCCAGAAGAGGGCAAAGCCCAACTCTCAGTCTGGCCATCAATAGCTTTTTAACACATGGGTCAAAATGCATATAGCAATTAACTCTTCCCTTTTACAGCAAAATATCACTTTTCTAAAATCCCCTAATGGTTCAACAAAATATAAATATCTGACACGGGGCAGCTATGAAATCCAATGGAGGTAACCTCCTAGCAGCTCAGGGCACATGCAGTGGAGGTGCACTCGCTCCCGCTCTCGGTCCCACACCCACTCCCCACACCTGCTGGGCTCACTCCCGCTCCCACACCTGCTCCCACACCTGCTGGGCTCGCTCCCACTCCCACACCCACTCCCACACCTGCTGGGCTCGCTCCCACTCCCACACCTGCTGGGCTTGCTCCCACTCCCACACCTGCTCCCACACCTGCTGGGCTCGCTCCCACTCCCACACTCGCTCCCCATACCTGCTGGGCTCGCTCCCACTCCCACACCCACTCCCACACCTGCTGGGCTCGCTCCCACTCCCACACCCACTCCCACACCTGCTGGGCTCGCTCCCGCTCCCACACCCGCTCCCCACAGATGCTGGGCTCGCTCCCGCGCCCACACCCGCTCCCCACAGATGCTGGGCTCACTCCCACCTCCACACCTCTGTTCATCAGACTGCTGTGCTTTGTTTTAGGTCACTGACCATATGAAGCTTTGCCCCTGATCTTAAGGAACTGGGAAGTCAGAGCATCTTGACTTGACTTTATTTTGGGTGACATTCAGACATGTTTTCAATACAGATGATTAAACTACGATGGTAAAATGCTCAAGAAAAGTATCTAGTATTGAAAAGCAGAGACACTCTCCCTCCTCCCAGGGAGTGACAGCCTAATCGGAGGATTGATTTTGGTCCCATCCTCTTGCTGGAGTCACAACTGTCATTGAACCCAACTGCGACACTGTGACTTTGGTTTCATCCCCATTCCTAGCTCACAGCTCCTGAAACCCTTGACTGGAGGTGCTGAGAGTGGGGTGCAGGAGAGGGCGGGAGCTCCACACCCTTCCCATTCCTCGCCCTGGCATCTCACCCACCTGGCTGTTCCTGAGTTACATCCTTTACAATAAACCTGTGATCTAATAAGTAACACGTTTCTTAGTTTTGTGGGCCGTCCTAGCAAATTAATCAAACCCAAGGAGGCGGCTGTGGGAACCTCCGGTCTGCAGCCGGCTGGTCAGAAGCACAAGTGACAAGGTGACTTGCAGTGGCATCCGAGCCGGGCTGTGGAGCGAGCCGGGGCTAGCACTGGGTCTGAATGTGCGTGTGTGTTTGGGGGAGAGCAGGGAGGGGGTGGTCTTATAGGACTGACCCCTGAACCTGTGGGGTCTAAGGCGACCTCCAGGTAGATAGCGTCACACCTGAGCTGAATTCTTAGACATCCTGCTGGTGGCTGCAATTGTTTGTTGATGTAGGGGGAACCCCACCCCATACCTCCCGCATTGGAAATGGATTTGGGAAACCAATTACCAGTAATGTTTACATTCACGGCTGAGGAAAGTGTGGAGGCCCCAAGCCTCCCTGGCACCAGGGCACGGCCTGGCTAGGAGGCCATTTCTGCCACCTCCTGCACCTAACAGCGGTGCCAAAGATGTGCCCTTGCCCCCGACAGGGCCTCTGGTCACTGGGGAGGCACCAGCGGCACAGCCTGCCAGCCTCACCGTGGGCCCTGCAGCTCTGTGCTGGGTCTGCCACTTACCCAGAGGGCCGGCATCCTACGGTCTCAAGAGCGTATCATAGGACACTTTGCTTCCCTACCTTGTTTCCTGCAGCGCCAAGGGGAACACAAAACAAAATGCAAACAGAACCAAACAACAAAAACATTTTGACCAAAGACAAAGAAGAAAATATTACCTTTTTGTAATAATTTCTCTCCAAGAGACTGACTCAGTCACAAATTCTCTGAAGTTGTCATTTGTTACAATTATGCCACCAGTTTTGTCCGCTAAGTGTAGCAGAAACCTAAGGTAATACAACAGAGGTTAAAATGGGCAGCAGGCGTCCTGCTCACAGAAGCTGTGCTACAGGAAAGCGAGAATTTCCTCTTCGTGGAAAAACCAAGAACTTAACCAAGGCTGGAGACAGAAAGGCTACCCTGTCCACTGGAAACCAACCAGAAAAGCTGCATGTTCACCTCCGACAGGGCTAGTACGATTATAAAGGAAGGTCTGGCTTTCATACAACCTCCTTCTCTTTCTAGAAGGAATCTCAACCACATTTACACGTTTCCAGGGAAGCTGCCTCATCAGGGAGCGGTGGCAGTGAGTGGCCACAGGACTGCGCCCAGGGGCGAGGGCTGAGCAGCGGGCGCTCGGCTGTGGACCTGGTGCTCTGGGGCAGCCCCGCAGCTCTTCTCCCCAGGTCTGCATTTGATGCTCTGACTTAAGAAGTGATGTTCAGAACGACCGTTCTGTGTAGCCCAAGTTACAGATCCACTTAAGTCCAAGTTATAAAAAGATACATGGTGATAAAAAAAAATAAAAGGTCAAAGCTAAATAATGAGAAGAGTTCTGTTTCACTTCTGGGGGCTGTCCATGTCCAGAACCTCCTAAGGAAATCTCTGGGGGATGACATGAGCTCTACCCCAAGTCAGGAGGGCGGCCCATACCAGCGCCCGGGCACTACAACGACCAAGGCATGGCCCCAACGTAACCAGGACACAGATCAGGCTCGAGAACCTCTCCAGGTGGCCACACCGAGACTAGCAAACACTACTTTTAGCATATACCAAGAAAGACTAATTCAATACCTGCTTTTCCTAAAAAGACCAAAAAATGGTAACACAACAGCTTTTAAAAATGTTCCTACACCCACCCAGCAAAGATCATTAAGTATATATAACCTTACTGACCATAAATATTAAAGACTCGGCCCCCAATGAAGTGCATCCTTCAAGAAAGTGGGTCCGGTCACATGGTAGTGTCCCATGGGGCAGGTGCTGGCCCCCCCCCGCCCACCTTGGAAAGGAGACCGGCCTCTCCTACCTGTCGTCGTGAGAAGCAATTCTTTCTCCAAAGACCATCCGGGCAGGCGTTAGAGACAATATGCCGAGCTCCTGGAGTTGGGTTAGGAAGTGCTGTTCTGTTCATGGGATAAGTTGAACATACATTCAGAAAAAGGCTGTCTCTCCCAAGCTTAATCAATGAACGTGCCCCCAGATGTTCACTTGGAGAGTTGTAGGAAAACCTCGTATTCTACTGACTCATGAAAACTCAATTCTACTCACTCACTGGGAAGGAAAAAAAGTCAAGCAAGACACATACTAAGGCAAATGCAATGTAAAAACCGACTTCAGCAAATATTGAACATAAAAAATTTCGTCTCATTTGCTTCTTAAATTGACAAGAGTGAAAACCACAATCCTGTCTGTAGTGAGCCCTACTGTCAAGGACTTCTGCCGGCAACATCACAAGCAGCAGAGGACAGAGTGCGGGCCAAAGCCCCTGAGGGGAGAGAGGGAGGGCGGGACCCCAGGAGGGCCTGCAGAGTCCCGACCAGGAGCCTGTCGTGCCAGTCTCCCTCTCGGGGCATCCTACCCAGCCTCTCAGTTATCTGGACAAATATGCACTGACTGTCACGGGGGTGTCGTGCTGTGTCGTGACAGAGGAGAAAGGAGGGCTGAAGCCACATTTCAGAAAACCAGTGATGGGTGAAGAGGAAGCCAGACACCTGGTCTGAGACGCCCACACCTGCGTTTGCAACCAGAGTGGTCACCACTGGCTTCAGCTGACGCCCTACAACGCTGTCCTACTGCCCAGAACTGCACAGTGGCGCGGCTGCAAGGCTCCTCCAGGGACTTGGTGCAAAACCACGGCCAGCGAGCGCTCGGCTCGGCCTCAGTGCCCGGTAGGACAGGCGTGCCCTCCAAACGCGGGAACATGTGCTTGGGGACGTGTGCTTTTACCACTTCCACACATGGTAACTCAGTCGGACTTCCCGTTTAAGGTTTTGGGTAAACCCTGCCCTTGCCCCCCTCCTCCAACTTGCTGTTTGTTTCTAGGGGCCCAGGTACGCTGGGTGGAGCTGCCCACACAGCCCTTCCACGTTGTCCCACGAGGACCTGAGGAAGGAGCCGCCTGCAGTTTCTCCGGCTGCGTGTGGCCTGTGGGTCCACCTGCACTACCATGTGATCCACAGAAATACTCGACATTGGCTAGTAAGCAGCTGATTAAAAAGATGTTCTATTTGAGGGTTCTAAATTTATCAAGTGACCATTTTCAAAAACAGTATTTAAAGAGGCAGAAACCCAGCCCTAGCCTGTTTGGCTCAGTGGTTAGAGCATCAGCCTTTGGACTGAAGGGTCCTGGATTCGATTCCAGCCAAGAGACCTCAGTAGTAGGCTCAATCCCCGGCCCTGGTTGGGATGCATACGGGAGGCAACCAATTAATGTGTCTCTTTCACATGGATGCTCCTATCTCTCCAAAAATAAACAGGCAGAAACTCAGCCTAACGGGAAAATAAAAGGTCAAAAGCTTTTTTTTTTTTTAAAAAAAGACATTATTGCCCAGCTGGCATGGTTCAGCAATTGAGCATCGGCCTACGATCCAGGGGATCCTGGTTCGATTCCCGGCCAGGGCGCATGCTGGGGCTGCAGGCTGGATCACCAGCAAGGGGGCCGTGCAGGAGGCAGCCGATCAATGACTCTTTCATCGCTGATGTTTCTATCTCTCTCTCTCTCCCTCCCTCTCTCTGAAATCAATAAAATATATATACATATATATATATTAAAAAAGACATTATTTAATCTACTTTTTAGAGAATTAAGAAAACTCCTGTGCTACACAGTGAACTCCGATGTAACTTTCCGCACAAGGCTGTGGCCCACCCCCCCCAGTACTCCTGGCTGCACACTCGCTCCCGCTTTTTTACTGGATGCAACAGATTTACAATTCCATCTCAAGCTGCCGCCTGCACCGCATGGAGGCGTGTTGCCATTAGAGGCCAACTCCTTAAGCATCTAATTAGAAACCCAGAAACACGCGCCGCCTCACCTGTGACGTTGGGGTCGCGCCGCGTTCTCCACTGTGGGACAAACACAGTGATGTTCCTGTTACCGAGCTTCCAGAAATACTCAACCGCAATCGCGATTCCACGACAAGAAAAGAACTTCTTCAGACCGTGGCTGTGGGGAAACAAGCACAACTGTTCACAGCAGGTGTGTGAGGAAGCCTGGGAGCCGCAGCGTGTTGAGCAAGGGGTGACAGCTGTTTGCCGCACTTCGCGTCTTTGTTTTTAGATGAAGAGCGGTCCGGCTGCTCCCTGCCTGGTCCCTGGCCTCCAGGGCTCTCTCGTGAATTTTATCGGAAAGTCTGTTGCTGAGCGGAGGAGCTGTGGTCACCACTGGTCAGTGGCACGGCCGTCACCAGCACAGCTCCCAGAGGCGGGGGCCTCCTGCTGCGGAGGCTCCGGGCCCGAGAAGCACACCCCGTGTGCAGCTTGAGGGCAGGACTCAAAGGAAACTCACTGGGGCCACGGCAGACGCTCTGTTGAGGATGCGGAGGCAGGGCGGCAGGAGCCAAGGGCGCGGGGCGCGGAGCACAGGCGTGCGTGGGCTTTTCTGCAAAGGGCAGAGGGGCCCGGCCGGCGGTCTCTGGGCACCACCCGACTGTCCGACGGCGCGAGGAGCGCGGCTCTGCCCCACGTTCACAAGCACAGGGCTGTGGGACCCAGAGTGACGGATGAGAAATGCCCGCCCCCAAATCGGGTAACAAATTTCAAAAAGAAATCAGAGGAATATTTAAGTGTTATTCTCCAGCACTGAAGTAAAAATGGAGGTTAAACAATTGTTTTTGAAAAGTTTGAAATTTTGCAAGTGGTAATCCATTTGCAGCCCATGAGTATTAGAAAGAAAAAAACCAACCCCCAAACTTTGATGCTGCAGCCTGAGGTCGGCATAGCGCGTGTCCATGCTGCCGCGAGCGCCGGTGTGCCAACGACATCAACTTCTGCACCGCAGGCCCCTGCCCCCGCCACGTCTAGCGTCTCTGTGGCAAAACCACTTGGCGGACGCATCCTTCCCTCGAGGTCCGCACCTCAGGCCACGTTCCCACACCCAGCTGCAGCTCCAGTCAGATGGAACCTGAAACGCAGCCACGGGACCTGCAGTCCCATCCGGGTTCTCAACAGCACCATCCGACCAGACAAATCAGTGGCTTCGAGGTCCCCTCCACGCCTGGCTAGTCAGAAGGGACCTGGCCACCACCGCGTGCATCTCTCCAGATTTGGGCCCGGACGTCAGGCTTTTCCTCGAGCTGTTCTCCGTGTGCACAGCCTCTTACACCTGCCTGTTCCTCCCTCCAAGGCCTCGGACAGGCCTGGCCTCTAGCACTGCCCTCGGAACTGCGCCCCTGCACCGTGTGCCTGAATCACAGGACGCGGGGTGCATGGGCTTCGATTCCCCTTAGGGAAGCAGAGCAAAACAGCCCGCGAGAGCACGAGCAGCCCGCTCAGCCTGCAGTGCCAGAGGTGGACAAGCTGGTCACTCAGGCCTCCTCGCCCGGCCAGGGCCCTTCCCAGGACCTCCCAGCGGTACTGTCCCCAGTAAACCTATGCTTTCACGGAGCAGGTCTGGGCTGGACACCAGCAAACACCCGACACCCAGAAGCACGACTCAGAAACTCCTGGAGGCTGCAGCCCACTCTCCTCTCAGCAGCCAGAGGAGGGGCAGCCCAGCATCGCCGAAGCCGGGGCGCAGCACAGCAGCCGTCCGGTGACGGGAGGTTTGCCTGTTTGTCCAGAGCACTCAGTGTGGCAACAACGCAGCAGCAACATTTGTCACGGGGAAACAGGCCGCAGGTAGTTTCCGTAAGGGGGGAGGAGGGCCTTTTTACTTTTTTTCACTGTGTAAAAAGAATAAATCATTCTAATTGCTTAACAGCCAGGACAGGCTTAGAGCTGACGCCAACCACAGCCAGAACAAAATACAACTTGTATGTATTCCTTGGTTTTCCTAAGAACCAAGCGATACGTGTAAGTCCTGGAAAAGGGTACAATACCCTTGAGAGAAAGGCACTAGAGGTCTGTAAAGCGCCTCCTTAGCTAATCCGTCAGATACCGCGTGTGCTAACTTTGTCTCCTCTCAGATCTTCTGTGACGCCACAGCGGAAACGGGGCGGCAGAGGAGGGAGCGCGGGGCACAGAGGAGGGAGCCGCAAGTGGAAGCTCTGCAGCCCCCGACCCCTCACAGCCCAGAGGGAAGCTTACAGCTCGTTTCCAAAACGTCATCCTCGGTGTCAGGATCAAATCACTCTTGGGAACCTGCAACATTTCTAGTGGAGAACATACAGATTTACCCAGAAAACAAAAACTCCAGAAGAAAGTCAAGTGGAGCCAAATGCTGTTCTCAAAACAATATGAGGGTCCTTCCACCTCCCCCGACCCCAGGCCGGGCAGAGGTGTGCCAAGCCTCACCTCCCCTGGCGCTCCACCAGCGCACCGGAGCAGCCCTCGGGCGGGCACCCAGGCCAGCTGCCCGCTGACTCAGGCGAGCGCACGTGCACTCGCCCCCTCGACCCTGAGAAGGCACCGCTCCCGGGTCCCAGCTCCCAGTGCAGACGAGCGGGCACCAGGCCTGAGGGCCAGGCGCACGGCTCGCCAGGGAGATAGGTGCAGGCTCCCGCTTTCACACAGCTGGAAACAAGTTCTGTACCACCTGGTTGTTCCCGTACGGTAGCAGTCAACGAGAGGAAGAGTGCCAGAGCAGAAAGACAGTGGGTGATGGGTGACAGGCGGCTCACAAACACTGACAGTCACAGAACCAGACGGCAGTGTGCGGAAACAGCAAAAAACCCTTTCTGAATTACCCAGGAGAGAGAAATTTCCTTCTACAGCTTCCACTTAATAAAAATAGCCCTGGAACCCTGATATAGAAAGGCTAGCCTGAAGAATGGTCGAAGTGCACAGTTCTGGCAGGTGAAAGGGAAACCTCAACTCCACGGAAAATCACCCACCCAGAAAAGCCAGGTGCTCTCATGCCGAGTTAGACCGACAGCCGTTGTTGTCTGGCCGCCAAGGTGATGTCTAGCTACACACCACAAGCAATTTCCATTTACTCATAGTTTAACTCATTCACGGCGACAGAGGGGAAAACCACGGACAGACATGTACAACCAGCAGCACTGGGGAGGATACGCAGGAATTTCTCACGGTCAACTGCGGACACTGACGCTGGCTGGCAAGTAAACGAAGGCTGTGCAGAACCCCAGCCATGGGTGGGCCTCAGCTGCTCCAGGGTGGGTCCCAAGACCCCACTGCTTTAAGGACTCAGATTTCCTTTTAACTACTTCCCCAGCAGCTGGGTTAAGAGAGTGAGGTTTGTTTGCTCAGCAGGCCTTAAGCAGCTCAACGTTAGTATCCAATGTTGCCAAGGCGCCATAACCCCAACCCCAGCTTCCACGGGCAGAGGCAGGGCGTGTGGTGCAAAGGAACAGTAGGGGCCCAAGTCTGACATGTGCAATCTTGGACAAGGTGCTTAAGCCATTTTATGTTATGTAAATTACAGATATTTTTACCTCACAAAATTGGTGTGAAGTTTATGTTTTAAAAGATCAAGTACACGTCCTGGCCAGTGTGGCTCAGTTGGTTGGGCATCGGCCCACGCACCAAGGGGTTGCCTTGCCAGTTCAGTTCCTGGTCGGGGCCCATGCCTGGGTTGTGGGCTCTATCAGTGTTTCTCTCTCTCCCTCTCCCTTCCTCTCTACAATCAATAAAAACACATTTTGTTTTTTTAAAAATAAATTACAGTACCTAACACATAACAGTTTCAGCTTTAAGATTCCAAATATTTGTTAAATTATATATATGGCCTCAGTTAAAGTTTAACCTAAACTGATCATTGGAATAGCAATTGGAATTGCAAGTTATAAATGGGTGGTAAAAAGTTATTTAAAAAAATCCTAATCTTTTCTTTAAGAAAAAAAACCCACACGATTTTAGAGGGAGAGAGAGGAAGGGAGAGACACGGATTTGCTGTCCCACTTGTTCATGCATCATTGGTTGATTCTTGTATGTGCCCTGACTGGGGATCAAACCCACAACCTTGACGTATTCGGATGATGCTCTAACCAACTGAGCTACTGGGCCAGGGCCAAGAATCCTAATCTTTAACAACCTCCTTCATTCATTCATGCAACAAGTTGGTACTGAGTGCATACCATAGGGGCAGTTCAGAGAACAGAACCTCACAATCACTTTCCTCATGGAATTTATAGTCTACAATTCACATTTCATATTGAAGCAATTAATTTAGAATAAGAGTTAATTATTTTACAACTTTTAAAAAATTCTGAGGTGAAATAAACATAACAAAAAGCAATCATTTTAAAGTGAACAATTCAGGGGTATCTGGTACACAACCACCACTTACATCCTGTTCCAAACAACCCATCACTCCAAAGTAAAACCCTACACCCACTAAGCAGCTTCTCTCTAGAATAAGTTAATTTTAATTACTGATACTTTCAAATCAATCTACATCTAAGTGTAAGTCTGTCCTCTTTGTAAAGGTGGTAGTTTAAAACTTAGACATCTGTGAATTCAAAGAAAACTGAAACCCTCCCAAAATAATTAGTTTTCAAAAAAATTAACACAAGTCAGCTTGTGGTTTCCCTTAGTGCACTGATTCAGAGAATTTCAAGAGATGGTACTGTACCCAAGGAGTTGGGAAAGCGTGGGAGTGGGCTGGGCTCTCACAGGACAGGGAGGCACTACGGCCACAGTGGGAGGGACGAGATATGAAAACGCCTGTCGGGGATGGACACGCCACTCCAGTCCCCAGGCGCCCCCTGAGAAACACCACTGCTCCCAAAAGGTTTTAAAGTGTCATTCTCACCGCTCTTGCTAAGTAAATCTGCATTTCTTATTCTTTGAACACCAATTTGGGAAATCTTTCCACATACAGAAAGATGAAAAAGGATTATTAATTAGTATTACTCACAACCGTGACCTTCGTTTTATATCATCATTTGGCTCAAGACACTGTAACAATGAGGGACTGCTGCTGGCTGGACCACGGCCCTGGGACTGGACTTGGACGCCGGGCAGCTGCCGCATTGGCTGGGCCTCCCCGGGAGGAACGGCCAAAACCAAGGTGAAATGACAACAAACAGCATTGTTTGGAAACAAAGACAAGTATGCACATGTTTTTACTGCCTGTTTCAAGCTTTAACTGAAATGATGGCATTTTCTTTCTTTCTACTTATTTATTATTTATTTTTAATTTGTTTTTTAAAATTTACTTTTGTTGATTTCAGAGAGAGGGAGGGGGTGAGAGAGAGAGACAAACGCCAATGATGAGAGTCACTGATGGGCTGCCTCCTGCACACCCCCACTGGGGATGGAGCCCGCCACCCGGGCACACGCCCTGACCAGAACTGAACCCTAATCTCCTGGATCCTAGGTCAATGCTCAACCACTGAGCCACGCTGGCCGGGCTCTTTCCTTTTTTTTTTTTTGAAAACAAAGGACAGCATCAATAATTCATTTAAAAAGTAAAAAAATGAATCCTTTTATATAAAAAAGTAGATAACTAAAATAATTGTAAATGAAATGACATATCTGAGATTTCCTTCAAGATAACATGGGTGAGGCAGTCGTAGGGCATGAATGAAACTGTGCAATGATGCCACAGGACAGCCACGAGCTGTAACCAATGAAGCCGGGTGGCGGGCATGTCATGGGAATCCCAAGTGGATCCCATGTGGGATCCACTATATAATCTTTTTGTGTAATTATTTAAAAATTCTAATAAAAATTTAACAAAACAAAAATATAACAAATATATAAACAATGTTTCGATAATAAAACTTATTTTCAATCTCATCGAGCATTCATGTAAAATAGAGGCATTAACTGGCCTTTCAGGACTCTTAGGCAATAGGCCACATAAACTCAGCAATTCAGACACGTTTCGGCTTCCCCCCTTCACTCCACGCCAGGTGCCCATTTTTTGAATCACAGGTCTTGGAAGTCAGCGGAATGACTGACCGGAACCCAGAGGGAGACTACTTGGCAGTGGCTGAAACGGTGTGACAAAGACGTCCTGTAGGAGAGGGCGAAAGGCGCAGGCTGCCCGCGGCTAACAGCTGGCGCTCGCTGGGCAGAGGCGCCGCCTGACCCTCCCACTCTCCTTGGCCACATTAAACTGCTCCCTAGAGAAGAAACCCACGCTCACGTCGGAGGTAGAAAATCAGAATCCTAAGGGGGTTCTAAGACGGGCTAAGCGAATGACCGTTTAGCAGTTCTTACTAAAAACAAGTGCAGGCACTTTTAGTAAGAGCCGAGGCCCACGGAGAAGTTCAAACCGACAGTCCCCTGGGAAGGACCCGCTGCCACTCTGTCAACAGGAGAGAGCAGGACACATCACACCTGTGACCACCGCGCTCGGCGGGGCCCCTGGCACACTGCGGCAGACAAGCAGAGACGCCCTTTGCCTCGAGCCCCATCCCTGTATTCAGAAGCTAGCGGTGTCCTTGGCGTTAGGACCCTGATGATTTACACGGCCCTGTGCCACCCGCCCCTGGGCAACGCTTGCGGAAGACACTCCGCTTGCGGAAGACACTCCGTCACCTCCTGCCCCGGAGACGCGGGCTCCGCAGGCGGACGAAGCTCGTGGCGCTAGGAAACGGGGTAACAGAACTTTACCAAGCAGCCGTTCCCCCCAGGTAAGGCTACTGGTCAACTGGACAGACGTGGACAGCGCCCACCCCCGGCCCGCCTCACACCGAGGTGCAGAGCGCACTTACGTGATCGCAACGTTGCTCCCGTCGATGACGATGTGCTTCAGCTCGGTCCTCCCGGGCTCGTTCTTCAGCTCCAGCTTGTAGGGCACCTTCAGGGTGTCCCGGAACCTCTGCACCCCCGTGACCGAGCAGTCCGCGTGGTCGGAGAGCCCCGCGGGCCTCGCGTCCGCGGCCGGCAGCGGCAGCTTGGGCGGGGGGGCGCCGCAGGCCGACCTGAGAGGAGGCGGGAGCGCAGGCTCCCCGTGGGGCTGCAGGCCGTTCTCCGGGAAGGCGGAAATTCTGGGCTGGTGGCTCGCAGCTCCTCTCGAAACAAAGCCGACTTCTTTGGGACTTGGAGGGGCGGCCGAGGGGGCAAGGCCATCAGTTTCAAGATCCACGCTCCCCACGTAGTCTGGGTGCGAACTCCAGGGCTCCTGTTTCGGTTCCGCGGGCACTGTCTTGAAAGCATTCATTTTGCAATTTGAGGTACATGGTTTTGATTCTACTCTGAACGGTAACTGAGGAAACTTTTTTATCGTATTTTGCTGGGTGTGGGTTTGTGTTTTCTTTGGAGTGGAATCCACTGTAAGGTCATTTATGCTGCTACAAACATCTTTAGTTTTGGTTTTGTTGGTCTCCGGATGCACAGTACCAGGTGCAGACTCTCTGTCTTCTTGGGATCTCTTATTTTCCTTTTCTATTTCCTCTAAGAGCAGCAGCGGCTCCGCTGACGGCCCATACTCCCTGATGACCTTCTCCACGATGTCCTGGGAGTAGCCCATGGTTTTGAAGAAGTTCACGAGGATGTTGTGCTCCATCTCCTCAGTGGTGTCTTTCCCGTCTGGGCTTAAGCCGTCGGAATCGCTGGACGGGTCGGACAGGTCAATGGCCACACCTCCGGCTGGTGTCCGACCGTCCTGCGAAAGCGCCCCCTCGTCAGCGTTCTCCAGGGAAAACTGTTTCTTGGTGTGTCTTTCTTCGGAATCAGAAAACCTCCGTTTGTGACAAGCTCTGCCTTTGCCGAGCGCCCCTTCATCGGGGGCCAGGCCATTGACGGGAAGGAAGAGCACGTCTTGCGAACTAGAAAACACCGTGTCCATCTGCTTCGTGAGCTCAGAGACCGGAGTCCCGGCGTTACTCCTCGCGTCCTCCTGCGGGGCCACGGCGTCCCCGGAGCCCGCAGCAGCGCTCGGAGAGGACGCCGCCTGCGAGGAGTCCCCGATCTCCACGCTGTGGTCGCCGGCCTCCGANGCCGACCTGAGAGGAGGCGGGAGCGCAGGCTCCCCGTGGGGCTGCAGGCCGTTCTCCGGGAAGGCGGAAATTCTGGGCTGGTGGCTCGCAGCTCCTCTCGAAACAAAGCCGACTTCTTTGGGACTTGGAGGGGCGGCCGAGGGGGCAAGGCCATCAGTTTCAAGATCCACGCTCCCCACGTAGTCTGGGTGCGAACTCCAGGGCTCCTGTTTCGGTTCCGCGGGCACTGTCTTGAAAGCATTCATTTTGCAATTTGAGGTACATGGTTTTGATTCTACTCTGAACGGTAACTGAGGAAACTTTTTTATCGTATTTTGCTGGGTGTGGGTTTGTGTTTTCTTTGGAGTGGAATCCACTGTAAGGTCATTTATGCTGCTACAAACATCTTTAGTTTTGGTTTTGTTGGTCTCCGGATGCACAGTACCAGGTGCAGACTCTCTGTCTTCTTGGGATCTCTTATTTTCCTTTTCTATTTCCTCTAAGAGCAGCAGCGGCTCCGCTGACGGCCCATACTCCCTGATGACCTTCTCCACGATGTCCTGGGAGTAGCCCATGGTTTTGAAGAAGTTCACGAGGATGTTGTGCTCCATCTCCTCAGTGGTGTCTTTCCCGTCTGGGCTTAAGCCGTCGGAATCGCTGGACGGGTCGGACAGGTCAATGGCCACACCTCCGGCTGGTGTCCGACCGTCCTGCGAAAGCGCCCCCTCGTCAGCGTTCTCCAGGGAAAACTGTTTCTTGGTGTGTCTTTCTTCGGAATCAGAAAACCTCCGTTTGTGACAAGCTCTGCCTTTGCCGAGCGCCCCTTCATCGGGGGCCAGGCCATTGACGGGAAGGAAGAGCACGTCTTGCGAACTAGAAAACACCGTGTCCATCTGCTTCGTGAGCTCAGAGACCGGAGTCCCGGCGTTACTCCTCGCGTCCTCCTGCGGGGCCACGGCGTCCCCGGAGCCCGCAGCAGCGCTCGGAGAGGACGCCGCCTGCGAGGAGTCCCCGATCTCCACGCTGTGGTCGCCGGCCTCCGACACGGCGTCCTCGCCCAGCGTCAGGGCCAGCAGCTCCCTCTTGAGGGAGGTGGGCAGAATGAGCAGGTCCATCGTGTAGCTGTCCGCGCGTGCTTCCACAAACTGTTTGAATTCCCTTTTCACCTCTGATTCCTTCTGGCTGTTGGGCAGGCTCTCGTGGCTCTCGAAGAGCTTGACGAACTGCTGAACGTGACTCCTGGCCATGACCACAGCCTCTGCGCTGCCCCGGATGCCCAGCAGGCCGATGTCCAGGACGCAGAGGTCGGCACAGGTGTCCTGAATCAAGCTCTTCAGAAACAGGCTCTGCGCCCCAACAAAGATGCAGTGCATGGCCTTGGGGTACCATTCTCTTTCTTCTAGTTCAGGTTCACAGATTCCTTTAATATATTCCTGAAAGGAGAGGAAATTGGATCAGTTTATAAAAGCTCTTTATAGCACAGACTTTGTTACACACGTAATTACAAACGTCAAGCTATGAAAAAGTGAAAGCAGGCTGATAACTGTGGGGCAAAGGCATGATTTAAATAAAGGGTTTAAAATAACAGATGTAAGTTGCTTAATTGTTTTTTTTATTTTATGTCTTTATTGATTTCAGAGAGAGGAAGGGAGAGGGAGAGAAACATCCATGAGGAGGGTCATTGATCGGCTGCCTCCTGCACGCCCCCTGCTGGGGATGTGCCCCGACTGGGAATCGAACCCTGATCGCCTGGATCCTAGGTTGATGCTCAACCGCTGAGCCACGCCCGCCGGACATTTTTTTTTTAATCCTCACCTGAGGATATTTTTTCCATTGCTTTTCAGAGAGAGTGGAAGGGAGAGAGAGAGACACATCGATTGGCTGCCTCCTGCATGGGGATCAAGCCTGAAACCGAGGTACATGCCCTTGGCCGAAATCGAACCCAGGGCCCTTCAGCCTGCAGGCAGACGCTCTAACCACTGAGCAAAGCAGCTGGGCTGCTTACTGTTTTTACAGAAACAGAAAACGCAGCATCTAAGTCTGAGGTGGGACCACGCCCAGCAGTGTGCCCTGCGATGGGAACTCAGGCCTTGCCCAGCTGCAGAGGACAGCGAGGCGGCCAGATTTATTTACATTATAAAGGACAAACCCTTGGCTTGCTACTTCCTAACCCATCACTGCTAGGACGTAATACGAGATAATCAAGTCAGACAATTTACTCCCCAACGAACTTGGACTTTTGCTTTGCTGCTACTGTCCTTAGTTTCCAGATAAAACAAATTGATTTCTTGAAGGCATTAAAAGACTTAATTTAACAGAATTTTTTTCCAGCTGGAACAGTGTATAACCCATATAACTTGGTTTCTGTTTCCTAAGACCAGGCTGCTTAAGAGATAGACCTACATACAGAGAACCAGAGAGTCCCGGACAGTCCCCATCCTCAGCTATGACGCCAGGGCTCCTGGTGAGACTGGGTATTGGAGGAGGTCCGAATGCCGTGTGAGACAAAAGCGGGTCCTTCGGCAACAGGTTGCTACAGAGGCATAGTGTGAATCGAGCACACGTGTGCACGCACACCAATGGTGGGACGTAACTTGTTAAAAACTGGGTGCTGGAGTCAGTTCCCAGGCTCTAGTTACCCAGCCCCTCCTTCAGCTGCAAGAGGCGCACGAGAGTGTGGTTTAGGTGTCTGAGGGGCTTCACAAAATAACCTGGGTGAGGTTCTGACAACAGTGTCTTGTGCACAGTAGAGCTTACTTTAAATAACACCGTTACTGAAAATGTTCTAGCAGGTACGTGTGAGACAGGAGCCTGGACACCTGATGTGTGCTTTAGAATTAGAATAATGCTGCCCGAGCGGTGCTGTTTGACCACAGCGAGGCCTTGCAAACCCGCACCTGTGACAGACACCGGCTGTTCCTAAGGGCCACACACCTTCGGTTAGAACGGATACAGAGCTGTGCACACTCCCTGTTCCCACCAGCTGCAGAAGCCTTGCGAGGAGGAAACACCAGGACAGCAGGCGACGTCACCGCGGGACCCGCCCCCCAGCGGTGCCGAGCGCCGCCCGGCTGCTGCCTGCCCGGTGCGGGCACTGGGACGCGCGCCAGGTCAAGGACGGCTCACGGGCAAGCAGGAGCCGGCTGTTCTCACCCGAGCAGCTCCCTGCTTCTCACACGGCAACAGCAGCAAACAAGCACAGGGCCGGCCGGCATGCGGGCCGAGGGCCGACCCAGATGCCAGCAGCCCCGAGCACCCCCAAACGGACGCTCGGCTGCCACCGGTCTGAACTTACGCTGCGTTTGGGCTGTGGTTTGAAGTTGTTTTTAAACATCTTACTTGGAAATAATTACAGGTTCACAGAAAGTTACAAAGAGAGCACATGACGGCTGGGTGTTCTCCAGCGTCTCCTCCAACCATCACAGCCCACGTCCGCCGTCGACACCGGGTCCACGCTGCCAGTGTGCAGGCAGGTCACACGCAAGGCGCAGACACCGCTTCGCCCGAGACACAGCTGTTCCGCCACCCAGCTCCCTTCAGTCACATTTCCTTCACTCACCTCCCTCCCTGCGCCTCCCGCAGCCACCAGTCTGTCTTCATCGCCAGTTTTGTGGCTCCAGGAGCTCTGTAGATAGACTGCACCGTATGTGACGCTTGAGATCAGCTCCCTCCACTCCACGCGCCGCTCTGGAAACCCACCTGAGCCGCCGCAGGTAGCCACAGTCCACTCCCGGCTGCCGCCGGAAACTCCACGATATGGATAAACTAGTGTTGAGCTGCCTACTGGGGAATATTTTGGTTGTTCCTGTTTGGGGCTATTACAAATAAAGCTGGACAGGTTTTTATGTTGACCTGTTTCCACTTCTCTGAATGTCCACAAGTGCAGCTGCTGGGTCGAAGGGTTTGCACGTGTCCGGTGTCCCGAGGCGCTGCGGCACTGCGCTCCAGACGGGCGCTACGCCGCCCGGTCCCACCAACACCGCAGCGGGACCAGCCTCCCCCACCGTGCCAGCGCTCGTCACTGTCACTGCAGCAGCCCCTCTTACCGCGGCTTCGCTTTCGGCAGTTTCAGTCCCTGCGGTCACTCGTCTCGCTCCGTGATCCAGGACCACCCAGAGCAGACGATCCCCCGCTGGGCACTGTCTGGTCAGCAGTAGCCTACACTAGGCCCCAACCCTACGTCACTCAGGTCACTTCACCCCCACACGCAGGCATCTCGCTGTGGTTTCTACGTGCGCGTTATTAATAGAAATACGAATCATCATCTCTATTCCAGCATTTTTTCTGTAGATTCCTTGGGATTTTCTATGTAGATAATTATGTCATCTACAAATTATTTTACTTTCCTGACTTACTGTACCAGCTAGACCTTTCCACACTGTGCCGACAAGCAGTGGGGAGAGATGACATGCCTGCCTTGTTCAGCATCTAAGGGAGAAAGTGTCTAGTCTTATGCCATTAAGTGTATTAGATTTTTTGCCCGGCCGGGCGTGGCTCAGCGGCGGAGCGTCAACCCAGGATCCAGGAGATCGGGGTCCGATTCCCGGTCAGGGCCCAGGCCCAGGTTGCCGGCTCCATCCCCGGTCGGGGGCATGCAGGAGGCGGCCGATCAATGACTCTCATCACTGATGTTTCTCTCTCTCTCCCCCTCTCCCTTCCTCTCTCTGAAATCAATAAAGATATATTTAAAAAAAAGTTATTAGATTTTTTTATAGATGTTCTTTATCACATTGAGGAAGCTGTCCTATAATACTACTTTTCTAAGAACATGAACATGAATGGATGTTGAAACTTGCTAAACACTTTACTGTATCAATGGATGCAACTGTGTTACTTTTTTAGCCTGTTCATAGAGTAGGCTATCCCGATATTTGAAAATGAACCAGCCTTGTATTCCTGGAATAACTGTCACTTGGTCACGATGTATAATTCTTTTATATGTTGGTGAGCTACATTTGCTAATATTTTGTTGCGAATTTCTGTATCTTTTACATCTATATTCATGAGAAACTTTGGTCTGTAGTTTCCCTTTTTTTGAACTCTGACTCGTTTTGGCATCAGGATTGTACTGATTACAAATGAGTGAAGGAGGCATTCTCTTGTATTTTCTAGTGTTCTACCTTCTTTCTTTTTTTTAAAAATATATCAGAGAGAGGAAAGGAGAGGGAGAGAGAGAGAGAAACATCAATGATGAGAGAGTCACCGATCGGCTGCCTCCCGCACGCCCCCGACTGGGGATCGAGCCCTCAGCCCGGGCATGTGCCCTGACCGGGAATCGAACCCCGATCGCCTGGATCCTGGGTCGATGTTCAACCGCTGAGCCACGCCGGCCGGGCTCTACCTTCTTTCGATGGCACTGACATCTCTGTCCATCACTCAGTCACCTCCACAACTTAAACCCCGTGAGGACAGTCAGAGCACCACCACCGCCCGGGTCCTTCACTCTCGGCCTCCTGCCTCCCCGCCTCCCTTTAGTCACAGGGATCTCACACATTACATGTATGGACATTTGAAACCCCACCAGACAATGTTATAAAATCTGCTTTCAACCACTAACTCATTCAAAAGAACTCAAGAGGAGAAAGTCATCTCCTACATTTACCCGGAGTTTTGTCCCGAGGATCTCCCTTTAGCAATTCTTTGGGAGCGGGCTACTGGCAACGCTCTCTCGGGTTTTCTGCAGCGGAGCGCTTCCTCACGCTTTATTTCATTTTCATTCTCAAAGGAGAGTTTCACGGGACAGAGAATTCTTGGTTAACAGTTCTTTCTGGTTCCTGACGAGAAACCTGCACTCGTTCTAACTGCAGTTCCCTACATGCGGCTTCCCCCAGATGCTTCTTTCCGACTTTTAACTCGCCTTCGGTTTTCAGCGCGTGGTTAGGATGCACCCGAGTGGGGAACCTTTGAGTTTATTCTGTGTGTTCGATGAGCTTCGTGAATCATTGTTTACATCTTCTGCCAAATTTGGGGAGTCTTGAGCCGTTATTTCTCCAGACGTCTCACCACGCTTCCTCCCCGCCTCCTGCCCCGACTGCACGGCGCCTGCTGCCCCCCTTCAAACGCACGGCCCTTTCCTCTGCCGCCTCCGTTTTAAGATCGAGCCCATCTAGTGAGTTTTTATGTAGGTTTTCGTATTTTTCAGTTCTAAGCTTTCCATCTGGTTCTTCTTTGTATCTTACTTCTTTTCTGAAATGTTCTATTAGTTTCAATAGTATCTGTGATTGCACATTGGAGAATTTTTATAATAGATGCTTCAAGTCTTAAAAAATTAAACACCTTTGTCATCTTAGCATTGGTGTCTGATGTCATTCCTCGTAAGAATTTACATTTTCCTGGTTCTTTGTATGCCAGGTAATTTTGTATTATACCCATTTTTACTACTACGAGACTCTGGGTCTTAGTTCCTATAATGAATGCTGGCACTTTTGTTCCAGCGGGTAGCTGGCCT